TTTGTATTTTACTAATTTAGAATTTTTACTAGAAATACTCTTAACTAACAATATGTCTTTTTGCAGCCGACCCAAATAGTTTAAAGCTTATGGCTTTGTTGTTGTTGTACTAATTTATAATTTGTATTTAATTTTTCAACTTCAAATTATTTTCTCAGGTAATCCTGATCCAACTGATCATGCTGATCCCAAATTGTATTTATCGTAACCAATCCCAATCCTGATATTGGCCTTGCAAACTATGTGTAGAATATTTGTTATTGTCTACAATACTTGATGTCTGACATCAGATTTTCTGGTCCTAAATGCTTGTTCAATTATAAATTGCATCTATTGTGTGGTTCCAACATCATCCTTGGTTGTTCCTCTTTCCGTAATGTTGATCTTTTTGTCATAAGGTTTCTTTCTTTGTGCACTATGTAATGAAATTTTGCTTGATAATCTCTCATATCTTTCCTGTGGTGAACAAATCTCATTATCTTTCAGTCTCTTTTTGTTGATCTGAGTGCCTTCTGATTCATGGTTTTCAGGTTCCAGAGTAACCTTGGTAATAAAAGAGTTGAACTCTTTGATATGGGTGCTGAAACTAGTGATGCTGTAGCTGAGGAGAATGTTAAGATGGCTTCAGGTGATCTCTTCCTCTGAAGCATCATTTTGTGAGGGTACTTCAGTTTAGCATATATGTATATATTGCTTTTTAGTGTCCAAAAATTTCTTAGTGCTTTCAAAGTAAATAAAATAGTTTAGCTCCAATTGGGATTTTTGGATCAGTAGATGGCCAGGAACACCCGACAAGATCAAGGGAATTGGCTTGAGATTATTCAGAAATATAGAATAGTCACAAGCATGGGGAAATATTTATATTTATGTAATTAATAGAATATTCAGTCATGGGGAGTTGGAAGAAGCCTTTGATGCATCTAGTAGAAGTAGGGCTTGTTCTTTCCATCGTGCATTATTATTTTTTCGAGGACATGCTTGCATCTTAGTAATCCTATCTTGAGTTCTAACGTAACACTCATGTTTTTATCCCTGGAATTTAAGCCAAATTGGAATCATTGCATGCTGATGATCCTATGCATTTACTTGTCAGAAGCATGTGTAATTGAGAACATGGATAATTTGGATTCTTTTAGGTGGAGTTCACAATTAATGTGATTTAACTTTTTTGTAAGACGAATAGATTTAAAAAAAAAACTTGGATTGTTTTTTGCTTCTTTTGTTAGTGAATAACGAAAAAGGATCATCCACTTTTAGTATAAGTATTGTCAAACAAGGAAGTTGCGCAACCTAATGGTTTATTTTTTGATAGGTGACACTAGTTAGGGGCATGAAAAAAGCATACAGTTTTATGTACTGTAGATAGGGGGTGAATACCTGGCAGGTTCTGTCAGGATGTCAGTCAACTTAAACATGACACTTCAACACTTTTTAAGTTTTTGTCCCAAATTTGATTTTTAGTTGGTATTTTCCCAATCCTAAAGCAAACCAACTTTGTGTCAGGTCTATTACATATTTGGGGTTGAGCTACTTGGGTTCTGGATAACTAAAATGCAGGATTTCAAAAGTATAAGTACAAAAGTAGTATTAAACAAACACCCATGTAATATTGCCAAACAGAGTTGGATATAGGTTGAATTTGGATTGCTCTTGGGTTAGGTTGACAAACCTAATCCAAGCAAAGTTGGTGTCACCTTTAGATGTCCCTGCCCATTCAAACCGAAGTTCCAGTATTTTCAAAAAAGACTAATTTGGTCCATTGAGTCAGTTGCATCAGGGAAGTTAAGGTGGACCCAACCCCAGTTGCAACCCAAAATCCTAATTGTAGTGATATGCCTTTTGGCAAGTGAACCAATATAGAGGTGCTATGAAACTTAAATCCAAGGTCCCATTATGCTCAGAGCTGCTATTTGATCATGTACTATTGTGCAAAATTTTTCAAGTGGCTTATTTTATGAGACGTTGATGGAAGGTGTAGGATTGATTTCATTGTGAGCGTTAACTAACACCAATGGACAATATTTATGCAAGGGCATGACCCATTGTCTGATTTGCTCTAAACATACAATGATACAACCTTGTTTCAGGAGAGAGTGCAAATTGGTTCTCTGTAGTCACTTATATGATTTGCTCTGAATTAACAGTTCCCTTGACTATTCTTTGAGAAACTCATGGTTACCATATAATTTTCGAGCTTATTTCCTTCATATCGTCTTATATTGCAGATATGTCTAACCAAGAACTAATTGATGCTGGAAGGAAACAGATGGATGAGACTGATCAAGCTATTGAGCGCTCAAAAATGGTGAAGCACTGGTCCTTGTGAAACTTCTCAGTTATCATTTAGTTTCTTTTTTTCACATAAAACATTGTACTTATAGGTTGTTGGGCAAACTGTTGAAGTTGGAATTCAAACTACTGCAAACCTTAAGGGCCAAGTAAGTCTCAAAGCACTTATGTTTCAAGCAGATTAAAATTGACTTTAATAATTCTTCCTAATATTTTTTTTCTCTTGTAAAGATAGCTTATGCTGGAGGGTTAACATGTAGATAGATCATATGGATTTGGTCCAGACAAATGTCTCTGAGCCCAACTCAGTTACAAATTTTGAATCAGGAATATTATTTTCTTAAATGGACTTCTTTGCTTATGTCAACTTATCTTTTTGTTATTTGTTCAAGGATAGTTTTATCTTAGAATTTTAACATGTGGGTTGGCTCATGAATTTGGGTCCAGTATATGGCTTAAAGCCTTGAACCCAAACCGTCGATGCTTGGGTAAAGCTATTGAATAGTCTTGAATCTTTGGATGCAAAAGCTGGAGTGTGTTGAGATCTCTCTTTTCCTTGTCTTCTTTATAATTAAAATTTCCACCGGAGTTAAATTCTGTAATTTTTCAGACAGAACAAATGGGTCGAATTGTTAATGAGCTGGACACTATTCACTTTTCCATCAAGAAAGCTTCTCAGTTGGTGAAAGAGATTGGTAGGCAGGTTGTCCCTTTGTCTTTGTGATTTATATTTTTCTTTCTGTTCCAGTCTTCCATGTATTTTCCTGTTAACCTATTCTAATTGCTGAAACTCTACTTTCAGGTTGCTACTGATAAGTGCATCATGTTTTTCCTATTTCTTTTAGTCTGTGGTGTAATTGCGATCATCATTGTGAAGGTACTTTTTCTTGCAACAGTTAAAACTTTTTCACGTATGTTATTTCATCTATTTTGAAAAAGGAATTTTATAATCATATTCCTGATACTTGGCAACAATAAAACTTTCATTTAACACTGCGGGTTGGTATAATGCTGTACCTGCTAGAAGACTTGACTACTAACTTTAAATTAACATTTAGCAGCTTTAAAAGGAAAAAAAAGGTAACCACAAAAGGATTTATTGTCATACTAAATGTTCGGTAAATTCTTTGACATTTCACCAAATAAAATATATCTTCACAAAATATCTTGATCCATGTAACTTCAAAAATTTGTTGGCCATCTCTCAATCATAAACAGTTTTATGGGCACAGTTGCTCAGTACATGGGATTCTAACCAATGTTATTTGACTTTTTATTTCCTGATTTGTAGATAGTGCACCCAAATAACAAGAACATCAGAGATATACCTGGATTGGCACCTCCAGCTGGGAGGAAATTGTTATCATTAGAAGTTCTTGGAAATTGACAGTAGCTTTGATGTCTGGTTGAGAGTCTGCTTCCGAACATTCACGCATCAGAAGATCCTGAGCTTAAAGTGCCATATTTGTGATGTTTTGTAATAATTTTTTGCCCTTGTATATGATGTCTTTGTTATGATTGTTCCCATTGTGATCATACGGCCTCCATATTCATCATAGTTTGAGATGTAGATGTCATTTGCTTCCTTTGGCAGGATCTCCCACGTCCTTCTCGTGTATATTTTGTAGAGAATGAAATGTCACATGGATCATGTAAGCTGTTGGTGTGAGTGCTTTCGAACCTTCTTTCGTACTTTTTGTCTATTGCATCTCTGGGATTGTAGGATCAACCTTTTGTACACCATAAGATACATATTCTTTCAGGAGAAATTGCCATTCTAGATTTGCAACCTTAAGTGGGCTCCTCGATTTCAATAAAAACTTGCATTTCTCTAACCTGCTTTTTTACTTTCTTTTGGATTGGTGCCAGATGCGTGGAAGAGCTGTTGCAAGGATTAATTTGCATGGATCGCGAAGCTTACCCTGATGTCCTCAGGTACTATTCTTCTCGTATTTTTTTGTCTCGGATATTTTAGATAAATGGGTTTCTTCGATGGGGCAACTTAGGGATTTGAAAAATAAAAAACAACTCCTTTTGGTAGAAACTGAAAGAGAATAGTTTTATTGGCGGCAATCAAAATTTGGTTTAAGATTGAATGGAAGAGAAAGTCGTATTATTAACTAGTTCAATCTCTTAAGTTTTAATTTAAAGTATATTAGAGTTGATGTATATGTTGACATCACTGGGGTTAAGTCAAGCTCCAAAGGGCCATCGTGTCCTTGCCTGCCTCTGGTGATCTGTGGGTTGTGCTTATCCCAAACCACGTCGAGTCACATGTGAATGTTCTTCGAGTCGCTGATATTTAAGACATTTACGTCTTTAACTCCACAAGAGGGTGGGAGTTTAATTTTGATCATGTGAGTCTCCTGAAGTCAAATTTACTGGAACAAATTAGGGTGATTAATCTTACATCACCAATCTTTAAAATGATCAGATAAAATACTATGTTAGTTTAATCTATTGAACAATTTGACTTTTGCATATTAAATCATTCTTGTTTAGGATAGGACACCAAATGCCCTACTTATTTCTTCCATCGAGGCTTAAGCCACTGCATTATTATACATTATCCTTTTTGACTTCCTTACATACGTGTAATGTCATTAATGTAAAATATTTATTCTTCATGGAACTTTTTATTTTATGTGCATAAACTTAGTGTTGTTACTTTCTTACCATCAGCGCACGGCTTGGAGTCAATGAAGCCAGTATAAAACCAGATTAATAGAATATGGATCAATAACAGCAAATTCTGAATTGATGCTTCAAACTTACAAAACATAATAGCAATAGTTTTCTTCTTAATTTTGACTCTAGAAAGAAAATGGTAACTTAATGCTTCGAAAGTTCTCTACTTGGTCTTCTCAGCTCATAAGATCAACCAGAACATGATAAGTAGGTGGAAATAATGTAGTTCTATCACCATTAAGATAGGTGGATGAAGCCTAGGCTGCAGGTTTCTCCCACTTGAGGGGCTTGACAACCTCCCAGGTGAAGTCTGGGTCATCCCTGCCAAAATGCCCATAAGCAGCAGTCTTAAGGAACCTGCCATTCCCTCCCCTTTTCAGGTCCAGGTTGATGGTGATCATCCCAGGCCTGAAGTCGAAGTTCTCCTTCACAATCCTCAGGATCTCCTTGTCTGGGATCTTGCCCGTGCCATAGGTCTCCACGAACACTGACAGTGGCTCAGGGACGCCAATGGCGTAGGACACCTGCACAATGCAGCGGCGGGCGAGCCCACTGGCCACGATGCTCTTGGCTGCCTGCCTCACAATGTAAGCACCACTGCGGTCCACCTTGGTGGGATCCTTCCCAGAGAAGGCACCACCGCCGTGTGCTCCCCACCCACCGTAGGTGTCGATGATGATTTTGCGGCCGGTGAGCCCAGCGTCGCCATGAGGGCCGCCGATGACGAAGCGGCCGGATGGGTTGAGGTGGAATATGGTCTTCTCGTCGATGTACTTCTCAGGGATAACCGGCTTAATGACGTGTTCCTTGAGGTCGGCGGCGATCTCGTCGTTACTGACGGTCTCATCGTGCTGGGTGGAGATGAGGACGGTGTGGACGCGGACGGGGACCATGGCGCCGTGGTCATTGCTGTACTCCACGGTCACCTGGGTCTTGCCGTCGGGGCGCACCCAGGGGCAGGTGCCGTTCTTGCGGACCTCGGTCAGGCGCGCGCCGAGCTTGGTGGCGAGGACGTGACTGAGAGGCATCAGCTCAGGAGTCTCGTCGGTCGCGTACCCAAACATGTGACCCTGGTCGCCGGCACCGATCTCCTCGGGGCGCTTGGTGAAGTGGCCATGGACGCCCTGGGCGATGTCGGGAGACTGCTGCTCGATGTTGACGAGCACCTTGCAGCGGTCTGCGTCGAGGCCGACTTCATCGGAGACGAACCCGATGTTGCGGCAAGTCTCGCGGACGATCTTCTCGTAGTCAACGTTGGCCTTGGTGGTGATCTCCCCGAAGACCATGACCATGTTGGTCTTGGTACAGGTCTCGCAGGCGACCTTGCTGTCGGGATCCTGTTCCAGACAGGCGTCAAGTACGGCATCAGATACCTGATCACAGAGCTTGTCGGGGTGCCCCTCGTTCACGGATTCGGAGGTGAACAGGAAGGTGTCGCTGCCGGCCATCTTCTTAGAGCTGGATAAACGCAAACATAGCAGATCAATGGACAATACCCCCCAAAAGATCTGAAAAATCACAAGCCTGAAATTTGACCAAGTAATCAACCAGATCTGGAGGATGTTTTGAACCACTAAGACGATCAAAGCACATAAAGAATTCTTAGATCTAAAGCTAGCGGCACCAATTGGCCGAGGACCAGATCCGGGGCGAAGAATCCAAACTTTGCGCACAATCTCTCTTGATTCTTACGTTTCAAACAGAAGAACACTCGAGGAGCATAAGGATGCAGCCAGATCCGGCGATCTTCACCAGAACAAACACAATATCGAACCAACAAACGAAACCACAGCATATCGATGAAATCTGACTAAATCTCTTCAGAAGAAGCTTAGAAAAAGCAACAACGCATGCTCCCATCCACAGATAACAGAAGAACAATAGACAGAGAAAGCAGATACTCCTGATCCGCTCATTTCAAGAGGGCGGGTGGGGGAAGCTCTCGCAATCAAAGAGTCTCACACGAAATCATGCGCTACTAGGAAACACGAGGCGATACCTGTGGATCTCGAGATCTAGCTCGCCTGAGGATGGAGATCGGATGCGAGCAAATGGCCCGCTTTCTCCTCTGCCCGAGCTCGAGGTTTATAGAGCGGCGATCGACGACGTGCTTGTTCAGGGACCATTGCCGACCACACGCTGAGGGTTCGATGATCTGACGGTCCATAATTTTCTTCCACCGCAGTCGTGACCACTGCCACGTGGCTAACAAGTGATGGAAGAAGAGAAGACACAGAGAAGGATCGCCCAAGTCAATTCATTAAAAAGACACGTGTTTTTTTTATTTCCACGTGTATTACTATTCTTGGTCAATTTTACGTCATCTCGTTTTAATTTATTATCATTAAATATTTGGGTGAGGAGAGATTAATTTTGAGTAAATCCATCCAACTTATCATAAAAAACAACAAGTAAAAAAATATTTAAAAAATCATATAAATATCCCTCCAAAATTTTAGACCGTCAAACATAAATATCATTTCGTTAATCTTCTTCGGTTGATTGTTAATAACGTTAATACCTTTGGCAAAACAACATAGATATATTTCTATATATTTTCTCCCTTGCATTTAAATTTTCAGTAAAAAAAAAAAATCACTAGCAACTGCAGTTGCTAATATAAATTGATGTATGCGAGTAACTTAACTATTTGGAGAGATAAATACGTTAGGTTAGAATTCGTAGGTGCAATATGTTATGTCAACTCTGAGAGCATATATAAGAAAATTAGCAATGTCTCGATGGAACAGAGAAAAGTCAACTGGTTGACGCAATCTGTGACACCGTGGTGATTCGTGTTCCAACGTTTTGAACATTCGGACCACTCTGATGCGGACACCAATCAAGTCGAAATTGCTCACAAATTTTCTGTTGACTCGTCAAAGATGTCATGCCATTCCAACAACCCCATGGAAAAACACATGCAAACTTGTCTTTCCTACGTACGTACATCCATACCTATTCCACGTGGCATGGAGGTCCGTGTCAAACATGCTATCAGAATTGGACATGGGAAATAATAAGTCCAATTGGTTTCTTCTAAAATTTATGGCTGAAAGTGTTTTTTCTCGTAAGAAAGATAGAAATATTATTAATTAGTTAAGCGGCTATCTCCAAAATTTGAGACATCCGAAGCTAAAATCTCTAATAGATGAGACGAAAAATTCTCGTGTGCTATATAGTAGACGGTGTTAATAAATTAGTCGCTTGATTAGTTTCTTTAAATATATGATCAGTGAAGAATTTTAAAAAGTATTTATATAATATCAAATATTTCGAATAATATTTAAGATACTCTTATGGAGGAGAATTCTTCACTTGTATAATGTTCACCAAAGTTTTCTTATCTATTTTTGTTCATAGCAATCTTACAAGATCACATCTATTTCAGAATAGACTTATCTTCATTCGTCGTAATTGATTTAAAATACTATTTTAAGTAATAGATATTTAAATTTTTACATTAAAACCTTTGACTTATGGCTCTAGTTTATATCATTAGTAAGGGCTATTAACTTGTGGAAAGTAATATTAGGATATATTTTTTTAAAAAAATATTATTATTTTTTATTTATCAAATTATCTAAAAATAGGAATCAATTGTAGTTAGAAGGATCAACATTGTCCTCTCCCTGAGTAACCAAATCTCATATAATCAATAGTCAAATGTCATATATTTTATAGGATGACTTTTAGATTTTCAAAGCAAAATGACATTAAAAAATGAAGGATGAGTTTCAAAGGAAGTTTGCAAACTGTCAATTTCTAGTGATTCTTACCTATCAATAGTAGAGATAGGATGGTGCAAAAGTTTTCAAATTCTTTTACTCTAGAAATTACTTACAGTTTTCAAACCCTTACTATTTTGATGATCTTGTAAGTGGCAAGAGAACTACAATATATATTATAGAAATAAGAACAAGAGTAACTATAAATTTAAAAATAAAAGGAGGATTGAGATATTATCCTTATTGACAACATTCTTGTTTGAGGAGCCTTTAAGAGATGGAAAGAGTTTCCTTATAAAGGATGGAGTAGTCCTTGGGCTTCAGGGGGAGTGAAGAGAAGAAAGATAAGGATTAGGAGGAAAGAGGTGAAAGGGAGTTGTGGAAAAGATTTAGAGGGAGGAAGAAGATGTTTAGAGGGAGTTGTATGAGGTCTATCGCCAATTCTAGTGAGGTGAAAAGATTTTTGGAATTTAAGATGATGCTACCATTCAATTCTAGTTGTTAGCGGATTTAAGGTGATGCTATCGTCAATTTTAGATTTTTAGAATTTGAGATGATGCTACCATTAATTCTAGGGTGCGGTAAAAAAATTTTGGGTGAGGTGAAAAGATTTTTGGGATTTAAAGTGATGCTACTGTCGATTCTAATTGTCAGCGGGTCAGGTTGAAGTGTCTGGCGATGGCACACTGCCACCATCTTTGGATAAGATGTCAATGATACCACTAGATCTAGTGGTGTTATTATTAGATTCTCTTTTTTTTTTTTTCTTTTGAAACCAATAAACTAAATAAGGTCATTATAATATCATTTAGATAGATTTAATAGACATAATTACCTTCTGATATAATTAAAATATTTATCATAGTAAAAATATCTATTAATTGATTTTGCACATCAATGAAATCTAAATATTTATCCTCATTGCTAGCATGATTTTTTATAAAATGATCTCAAATCTTAATATGCTTGGTTCAAAAATGTTGAATAAAATTTTTTATCAAGAAAATAGCACTAGTATTATCATATAGAAATTTTTTTAAAGCAAAATTCATAATATTTTAAAGTATATTTTATCTAAATTATTTATTAACAATATGTACCTGTTGCTATATATTCAACTTCAACTTTAAATAATACGGTAGATTTTTGCTTCTTCAATAATTAAGAAATAAATACATCACTTAGGAATTAATAAGTTTTAGAAATATTTTTTTTATCTATCATGCAACTTGTAAAGTTAACACTATTATTTGATTTGGGATGTCGTAGTACTTATCTAAAGATTCTTTTTATAATATTAAAATAAGTTTATTTGATATTTGATTAGAATTTAACACAAAGACTTACACTAAATACAATATCACATCTAGTAGTGAGATATAATAAACTTCATACCATACATCTATAAGTTTTTTTTTTTATCAAAAAGTTCACCATCATTATAAATGTCTATTTTTATAAATATCCTCATTAGTGTATTAATGGCTTTAGAGTTTTTCATATTAAACCTTTTAAATAGGTAATGAGTATTTTTAGTTTGATTGATAAAAAAATTATTTTTAGATTGTTTAATTTATAAGCCTAAAAAAATATTACTTCACATATTATATATTATGCTTCTTTTAAAATTTTGACTTATACTCTTATCAAATGACTCATATAAAACTTCATTACTAGAATAAAAACTAATATCATTAATATAAACTTAAATAATAAGAATATCATCATTAAAATATTTAATAAATAATTATATCCCCCAAAAGCTTTATATTATCTACTCTTTTGGTATGTCGTCCAATCTTTTAATACTTCATCTAATTCTTTAGAATATTATCTTGTTGAATCCCGAATTTTGATGATGAAATAAATAGATAAGTTTATATACTAATAAGTGTTTGAGATAACTAACATAGGAGAAACTTTGATTATAAACTTGAACCATCGAAAAATAAATCAATGAAGTAGGAGAATCAAATGTTGAGTCGGAGACCATCATGTCAAAGATTGGATATTGGGTTGGAGGATTGATTGATTGTCGGAGGATAGACTTCGTGTCATGAGTTCGAGCATCGGGTCGAAAGGATCAGGTATTGCGTTAAAAAGATCAGATGTTGTAGGAGGTTAACATATCGATGGAACGCATAGTACGCCAAAAGAAAAGACAATGCGCCAAAAGGTTCTGACGAAGTATCAGATGAATAGATGACATGCTGGACAATGTGCTGAAGACTTTATGATTATAATTAAAGTAATTAAGTCTCAATCAAAGTTGTTTAGAGTCTAATTGAGTTGGTTTTGGAGCATAGCTATGTCAACTTGATTAAGAGCCCATTGGGCCTAAACTATAGTTGAATTGGACTTGTTAGAAGGCTAATTTAGTGACTTAGGGTTATGCTAAGCGATGGTATCACCGGTCTCAAATGATGGTATCGCTTATGAGTTGGAAAGCACGAATTGTGCTTTTCTAAGAATTCTGGTTCAAGGACCACCAGTGTCAATGGCAGTATAGCTCAAGAAGGTAGTTGTACCATCAGAGCCTAGATTCCTAAGCTCTGTACGATGGTAGTACTGTCCAATGCAGGCGGTAGTACCACCAGTATCCCGAAAACTCGAGGATTTAAATTTTTAGGCTTTTTGGAGTCTATAAATACTACACTCATTCTTGTTTAATGAAGAAAGAAAGGAGTAAGAATTCTTGAGGAAAAAAGGCTTGTAAACTCTCTTGAAAAATATTGAGTCTCTTTCTACTTGAGTTTAAAGAATATACTAAGGAGGTGTGAGGTCTTTTGTAAAAGATGGGTATTAAAGTTTTATCTTTAAGCCTGTGAAAAAGGGAAAGATTATAATAAGAATAGTTGATCTTTGTCCGTTGAAAAAAAAATCAGTAGTGAAAGCCGATGGCCTCGAGGGAAGAGGAACCGTGAGTGGTTGCAGGTCGGGATGACCGAACCACTATAAATCGGTTTGTGTTTCTCTTTATACTTTTTCTTGCTATCACTAATTGATTTAGGTGCTCACTACTTTTATTTATATTCTAAGTTAAATATATTTTTGATACATATTTATCAATTAAGCTTTCAAATTAAAACTTTATTTGGAAAGCACTAATTTACCCCCTCCCTCTTAGTGCTTTTACGATCCTAACACATCTAATCCTCTGGTTTATCATTCAGTCCTCTAATATGTCGACTTCATCATGACATCTAATTTTTTAATATCATATCTGATCTTTTTAGTATGGTGTTCAAATTTGTAGCATGAAGTCTACCCTTAGGTATGTTGACCAATCCTTTAACTCAACTTATCATTTTTAGCACAATATCTGACTTTTCTACTTGATGTTTGGCGTTTTGGTGATTAAGTGTACGATCAAAATATATCCTATAT